GTAGTCGGTCACACTGTGAGCCAGCAATAATAATAACCTGATTAATAATAACCCCGATTCAATGATGAGAAAGAGATTGGTGGTGATCGAGAAAGGATCATGGAGGTATCATGGATACCGAAGTTGGTTGATATTTATGTGATCGTGAGATGATCACGGAGGTATCATGGATACCGATGTTGGTAAGTTGATGCCTGAGATGGTTACGAGGTAACCGTCAAGCAGGAGTAAGTTGGTGCATGCGAATGTTAACTTGTTGCATGTAGTATCATCATGTTCATATGCTTATGCCATGCTAAAGTTGTATCATGTTCACCTTGTGCACGCCATGTTGTTCTGTTAGTATCATGTTCATGATCGCTTTAACTTGTTAATGCCATGCTATTGTTTGTCTTGACTGCTTTTGGTTATTGTGAGCTTGCAAGTACATTCAATGTACTGACCTGACGTGTCATGCCAGTTTGCAGGTCGTGCCTGGATTGCTTGCTTGTTTGGTGTGGTTCCTGTGTTCACGAGCTAGGATAAACATTCCAGCCAGAGTCCCTGCGGATTGGAGTCCATCATCTCCGTTCGTTGTTCCGCTGCCAATAGTTGTTCCGCTTCCAGTAGTTGTTCGGCTGCCTCGAGTTGTTATGCTACTTGCATAGAGCAACTGTGGTTGGAGTAGTGTCGTTGTGCCGATGTTATTCATTGTAATATGGGAGACCTTGTATTCATATTCGTGTTTAATAGAGAGTTGGTTTGTTCTATGATAAGTAGTGTCGTATTCTAGAAGACTTCATCTCAATCTCTGGGCTGGAATATGGGGCATTCCAGTTTCTCTGAGCCGGGGTGCCACAGGCTTGGTATCAGAGCAGGTCTGACTGTAGAGCGTCCTAGTCCGCTTGAATGTTAGAAAACGGCAGTATAGGGTCTGGTTGTTGTCCTTGCTTGCTGCATTTGGTTGTTGCAGATAGTCTTATTTGGTTACCCCTAAGCCATGTTTCGTGCGTAGATGGCGGCCAGCTTCCACGAGTTCAGTGCCCTTCCGAGAGCTCTCGGTGTTGTTCCTATTGCTTTCAGCCCCACTCCTGCACCTCTTAGCTTTGCCACCCTCCTTGGCGACATGTGACGTAGCATTTATCCCTGCGGAGATCCACCCCATTACCAAGTATTCCAGTTTTCTTCCGGAGGAAGAATCCTGGAGTATGTTGCCCATGTCCATCTGCCAGCCCCGATTCCTGTTGGTAAGCGCACCTATAGTTTCCATGGTGGTTACGGTGCTACTCCCAAGCATGCCATTCAGGTTGCAGTTATGGCAGCAACCACCGGCCTTCGTCATCAAGAGAGCATGGTGCAAGAGAACCATGCTTATCAATACTATCCCACCATCATTGAGAATCCTAAGTGCATCCAGTTCCCATCTATCAACCCTCAAGATGACCCGACTATCCTCGCCATGTCCCGTTATATGACGGTCGAGTGTCTTCTTATTTTTGAGTTAGTCCGAGACACCATTTGAGCCAGGAGATTGCTTGGTGCTTCCCTACCTTAGTCTCCGCCAGCTTCTCCAACCCCTCTGCCTCATCCATCCAGAGTTTCGGAGTCAGCAGTTCCACTCACTACTCCCTTAATTTCCTCATCAGTCCCGAGCGTTTGCTCAAGCGTAGGGTGTAGCCAGTCGTGTAGTGCATGTGCATCTGCTGTAGTATCATTGCTTGTTTATGCTTGTGTGTGCCTATTTGGATTAGTTTTGTAGCTTGTTTGTTGTGTGATTTGTTGCAATCGATCATTTTCTTGTGCTTCTTTGTTTTGTTTCGAATCTTTGGTGTTACCCCCTTATGGAGAATTGCTCATCAACCGACACCAATCAAAAGAAGCCGTGAGAAGTACAGATATACACCAAGGGACTCAGTTAAAAGCAATGAGATTTTCCGCTGACATCATCGTATTGCAGACATCCGGTCTGAATATAAGTATATCCTGCTTCGACTTTTAGTAACAAGTACCGGCAGAGATACATCTTTATTGCAGCAATGATTAAATCAGCAAGAGAACAAAAGGATCCAAGTCCAACTGTGCATTTCAAGTCAGAGGTATGGTCTGTACCCAATGATTGATTCTGCCATGAGTCAGATTTGAAGCATGCGACACCCAGAAGTCAGTCCAAATATGCAATGAATTCAGCAAGAAGGACAGTCAGACAATTCTTGTCATACAAGTTATCAGCAGTCGGAATGACAAGAATATATACATATTACTCCTTTCACAAAGAAGATCAGTCCAACCCTTCTCCACAATTTATCAGCAAAGCGTACAAGACACGATTCACCAGTCTGCATCAGAAAGGTATGAATGGATTCCAGTGCAAGATATTCAGTGGTTTCAATTGGATACTGCAAAAGATTCTGGCATAAGGTACTGAGTTTTCCCTAGTATGTTTTTAAGGGGGGGGGGAGCTTATAAGGTATGGTACCCAGCCTTCCTCAGCAAGATATCTGCAGAAGACTTCGAGCACAAGCTATCCAGTCTTCCGCAGCACGATACCCCGATGGATTCGGAAGCAAGCTGCCCAGTCTTCTTTAGTATGGCACTAGTATAAGATATTAAACAATGATGTTGTCAGCATATGGCAGTGTTTTCCAAGTGGCAAATCTGCAACAGTTAAGTCAGAAACAAGAATCAGGCAGAACAAAGTTATACCTCGAGAATCAGATATTTGTTCATACAGTGAGTATGTTGTCAAGTTCATGCAAGTCTCTCACAAGTAATAATTCACGGTTCGCATCCGACAACCTCACTGGATATGCAAGTGAAGAAAACCAGTGGGTAATGCAAGAATCGACAAGTCTTGAAGAAAGACAACCTTGAGACAATCATCTTGGCAATGATTATCAAGATCAGCCCCGCACACCCGACAAGGTGATGCTATTAATCCGGTCACTGTCTGGCATAATCAACAACAAAATTGAGATCTGTATCATCACATGTGAACCGGATAAATATCCCAAGACTCAAGACCAAGGTATGATTGCAAGATATTGCACATGACAGTATTCAGGGCCGCGAAAATAATCAAGGATATATAAGGCCCCGCTCTTTCAGTTAAGGATCTAGATAAAGAAAATAATAATGAAGGAGCAAGACCAACAATACAAGTATGCCAATTATTGTGCGAACAATCTGGTATGAATGCACAAGACAATCTTATTCCGTATCAAAACCAAGTGAAGATACGCCTAAGAGGTCTTCCCCATGGTAGTAAGGACCTCGTGTCAAGGCAACCAACTCAATCCACAATATGATCAAAACTATCAGCATGGAATGCCAGAGTCTGTCAAGTCTGACCCAAGGACATCTCAATATATTGACCTCGGTAATCGTGTTGAAGCATAACACGAACTGTTATCCCCAAGGATATACCGGCAAAATGAAGAATCAGTGTGAGAGCACATAATTTCAGGATTGTTATCTCTCGCATATGGGAGGCAATTACAGAATAGCCTGTTGTGAATGGGATTCTTTGCCAAGATCACCGCCAGTCAGGTCTGCAAAATGTTATCATTAGGAGATGGTACATTTTTCTATGAGTCACGTCAAGCGACAGTCAAACTTTTGGTATAGATTGGATATGAAAGACAGTGAAGTCAGTCAAGACAAGTCAGAAACTCCTGTGAAACGACATAATCCGTCAGATTCCTATCACTATTTTGAACCCAGAAGGTATGCATATATTCAAGCAGTCCGATGCCTGGATAGAAGAGAGTTCTTGTTCCACGGGAAGATGTGTTCCCCACTCCATGGAATATTCTCGGTACTCGATACAAGGATAACATCTTCAGCAAGGATCAATATCGAGATGGACACGTATGTGAGGAATGATAATCTTTCATACCGCAGCTAAGCCAGCAGATGTGAAGAGAAAATTTGGGTCAGTATGTCAGATACGGTGAAGCAAACCACCCCAGATCAAGGCAGACAGTCATATCCAATTCAGTGGGAATATTATATGAGAATGATAAAGGAACCCCGAGTTGGAAACGGTTTCTACAAGTCGAAAAAAACTATTTATCCTTGAGCAATCAAATCTCGAGGACGAGATTTCTTTAAGGGGGGAAGGTTTGTGACATCCTGGATTTTGCCCTTTTCTTTTTTCCTTTGATTTCTTGATTTGATTTGCTTTTCTGTGGCTATGTGGTTCCAAAAACTTGGGAAGATCATGTCTTCCTAGCTTTTATAGTGGCATGTCATCCCCAAAACCATCCCTAGCTCATGTCATTTTCATCCTAGCCCAAATACCACTATTCTTTTATTAGGAATATTCCTTTTCTGATAAATGAATTATCCTATCTCTAATCCTAATGGACCAGTTGGTGAATAGTCCGTCGGTTGTTTTTTGCTAGGGTTTTTTCGTCCTCCCTCCCACCTCCGAATTTCGTCGGTTTTTTTCGTTGGTTTTTATTCGCCCCCCTCCTACTGGCCGTACAAACCCAACGTTTATTTGGTAACACAATGAATTCACATATGATGATTGATTTATTCTTTGGTAACCCAACTAACGGATGGTAATCAATCTTCAAATACCAAAACCAAACGTACAAGGCAACAATCAATTCATTTTTTTTCTGACCAGTTATTTTTCGTCTCCCCTCCCACCTGCCTTTTCGCTTCACCGCCCACATAAACCCATCAGATTAGTTACCATATAAAAAAATTAATCACAATCAATCAAGCATTGATGGGATATTTCCTTACATTGATGTGATTTTCATTTCTTATCATGAATCATACACGTCAAAAAAAGGTACGACGTGCGAGGATCGTGGGCACATGCCCTACAAATCCGAAAATTCCTATAAAAATTAAATTAGAATCCGAAAATTCCTATAAAAAGGTACGACGTGCGAGGATCGTGGGCGCCGCCATCATCTTCTTCTCTCCGGTCTCCTTGACTAGGAGGACTCCTCTGTGCCCCAGGCCCTGGCCGACGCCGGTGACTCCTCGATACTCCGCCCGCGCCGTCACATCCGACGCAGGCGAAACTCCAGCTGATGCCACGGGATCCACATACTACGCTCGTCGGCCATCTTCCACTCCGGCTGCTGCGTGGTGCCGCCGCTGCGGGAGGCAGCCTGGCAGGAGCAGACATAGCCGTCCTCGTGCAACCCGACCCATGCGTCTAGCTCGACGTCGAAGTAGCCTCGGCCTCTGAAAGGCAACATCCACTCCCCATGGCGCCTCCACTTGCAGCTCCTGGTGTCGACGGAGTACGTGCCGCAGACCGCCCTGCTCCACGAGGACACGAATATGGTGCGCCCGTCCGGGTGCAGCGCGTAGGAGAAGATCATCTCGTCCTTGGTGAAGGGCGTCGGCATGCTTCTCTAGGACCAGTCGGTGGGCAGCAGGTCGCCGTCTTTCGTCGTCGGTGGCTTTGCCATCGCCTCAAAGGACACAGGCCGCTCCATGAAGTGGAAGGCGAATGCGAACAGCGTGTCACCGGCGCCGGAGGTCAGGAAGGTGTTGGAGCCACAAAGTAGTGCGTCTAGAACGGAAGGGCCGACGGCCAGTCCGGCGGTGCCAGTGTCGTAGAAGAGGGTTCCGGCATGTATGTTGCTCGTGGCGATGATGTAGCCGCCCAGGGCTGCTACTTCATGTGTAGGACCTTGAAGTATGTCTAGAGGGGGGGGGTGATTAGACTACTTGACCAATTAAAAACTTAACCTTTTCCCAATTTTAGAGTTTGGCAGATTTTAGCTATCTTAGGACAAGTCAAGCAATCATCACACAATTCAAGCAAGCATGCAAAGAGTATATAGGCAGCGGAATTAAAGCATGCAACTTGCAAGAAAGTAAAGGGAAGGGTTTGGAGGATTCAAACGCAATTGGAGACACGGATGTTTTTGGCGTGGTTCCGATAGGTGGTGCTATCGTACATCCACGTTGATGGAGACTTCAACCCACGAAGGGTAACGGTTGCACGAGTCCACGGAGGGCTCCACCCACAAAGGGTCCACGAAGAAGCAACCTTGTCTATCCCACCATGGCCGTCGCCCATGAAGGACTTGCCTCACTAGCGGTATATCTTCACGAAGTAGGCGATCTCCTTGCCCTTACAAACTCCTTGGTTCAACTCCACAATCTTGTCGGAGGCTCCCAAGTGACAACTAGCCAATCTAGGAGACATCACTCTCCAAGAAGTAACAAATGGTGCATTGATGATGAACTCCTTGCTCTTGTGCTTCAAATGATAGTCTCCCCAACACTCAACTCTCTCTCATAGGATTTGGATCTAGTGGAAAGGAGATTTGAGTGGAAAGCAACTTGGGGAAGGCTAGAGATCAAGATTCATATGGTAGGAATGGAATATCTTGGCCTCAACACATGAGTAGGTGGTTCTCTCTCAGAAATGGTAAGTTGGAAGTGTAGGTTTAGTCTGATGGCTCTCTTCATGAATGAAGAGGAGGTGGAGGGGTATATATAGCCTCCACACAAAATCTAACCGTTACACACAATTTACCAAACTCGGTGGGACCGATTCAACAGACTCGGTCGGACCGATTTAGTAAACCTAGTGACCGTTAGGATTTTCGGTGGGACTGACATGCAACTCGGTGAGACCGATTCGGTTAGGGTTAGGGCATAACGTAATCTCGGTAAGACCGATTACACAAACTCGGTAAGACCGATTTTGGTAATAAGCTTTCCAGAGAGTTGGTCAGGTAAACTCGGTGGGACCGATTTGCTCTTTTCGGTAAGACCGAAATGTTATAAAAAGGAAACAGAGAATTTACATTGCAATCTTGGTGGGACCGATCGCTCACTTCGGTTAGACCAAAACGTTACGAAGGGAAACAGAGAGATTACAATCCCATCTCGGTGAGACCGAGATCCCTATCGGTAGAACCGATTTGCTTAGGGTTTGTGGCAGTGGCTATGACTTTCAAACTCGATGGCGCCGGATAGGAAGAATCGGTGTGACCGATTTTGGCTTTGGGTTTAGGTCATTTGTGGATGTGAGAAAGTAACTGAGGGTTTTGGAGCATATCACTAAGCACATGAAGCAAGAGGCTCATTAAGCAACACCTCATCCCTCCTTGATAGTATTGGCTTTTCCTATAGACTAAATGTGATCTTGGATCACTAAAATATAAAATGAAGAGTCTTGAGCTTTTGAGCTTGAGCCAATCCTTTGGCCTTAGTATTTTGAGGGATCCACTTTCATCATCCATGCCATGCCATTCATTGAGATTTCCTGAAATAATGGTCTTGGAATAGCATTAGCTCAATGAGCTATATGTTGTTATGAATTACCAAAACCACCTAGGGATAGTTGCACTTTCAATCTCCCTCTTTTTGGTAATTGATGACAACATATAGATTAAAGCTTCGACAAATGATAATAAGATTAAACACATCGTCGCTTTGAGAAGTATGTGATAAGCAAGAGCTCCCCCTAAATTTGTGCATAGTTTAAGATTTGCTTTGGACTGCAAATGCACAAGGAATTAGGCTCATGGGTTACTCTTCCATGTCACATACATCTTGGTGGAGCGCTCAAAATGATAAAGATTGAATACATGCACTCATCACCAAGCAAAGTGAATGATCACATAGGATAAATAAGATAATATCATCAAACATGCATAAGTGTAGCTTATGATCAAACACATGATCATCAATGTCTCACAAGAATAGCATAGTATCTCAAGCACTCAAAAGCAAACAAGTTTTAACCACCAAATCAAAGCAAGAGAGAACAAAAGCAACACTCTCTCTCTCGAAGCCTATGATCTATACATTTTTCTCCCCCTTTGGCAACAAGTTACCAAAAAGTTCATAGAAAATGCATAGTGCTAGATCGACTCTCAGGCTTGATCTTCAGGTGGTGGTATCCGGATAACTCCAAGAATGAAGGCTTCAGTTGAAGTAGAGGGTGCTGGAGTTGATGTTGGAGCTGGTTGCACTAGAGCTGTAGGAGCTGTAGCTGGTGCAGATGATGTTGCTCTAGTGTCTGTCACAGGCACTGCAACTGACCTCTGGGCTCTAGGCACTCTGGCAAACACATTAGTGGTAGTCTTGCCCTACCTCTCCTGCATGTCATCCTGCAGCTGCTCCACAATTGACTGAATCTCAGTTACCTTGACATCTAGATCACGGAATTTGAGTTCCCTGATTCTTTCCAAGCTCTCCTGATTTCGAGTGAGGGTGGCCAATCCCTTCTCAGTCCTCAGAGTTGATGCTATCAAGTAACCAAGCTGCTCCTGCTTGTTCTTCAAGAAATACTCAGATGCCTCCTCTTGAGTTGGCATCTTGGCAGCCTTCTCCTTCCTTGCCTTCTCCTTCTTCTCTTGAGCTTGAACTGATGATGGATCATTCTCATTCATGACAACCTGATTGTCCTCAAAGTCTGGATAAAGTGGAAAATGTTCCTTATCCAATAGATATTTGCATGTGCCCATCTTTGAGTTAATCAACTCCTGAATCTGAGGGGCATATCCACAGCTCCTCTTCTGATCTGCTGCAGTCCTCTTAATGGTCTCTACCATAAGGCTCATGACCTAAAATTTCTGTGGCACATCAAACAAATGCAACATGTTGATTGCATGCCCTCTGATCATGTTGTGGTCACCAGACTTAGGCAACAGAGTGTGCCTTAGGATCCAGTTGATAGTTGGCAGCCCTGAAAGAAGAAAGTGGACTGATCCAAACTTATGTGTCTCAACAGCTTTGTCTGGGATCTCCTTGTACATGTATGCCACGGAATTGTGGTCCATCTTCTTCTTGGCATAGATATCCAAGTCATCTTCATTTTCCTTTGGGGCATTGATCAGTTTTTCCCACTCCTCAACTGTTGACTGGTACCTTGTACCTTCAGACATCCAGACTATCCTCCCATCTGGATAGAAGTGTGTTGTGGAGTAGAATTGCATGATAAGTTCATCATTCCAGTTGGTGAGCTTTTGCCCAACATAATCTACAACTCCACAAGCAACAAAGTTGTCTTGCACTCCAGGATAGTGCTCTTCATTATCCTTCATGTAGGTCCAGTCGACCCACCTCATATCACATACTGTGGGCTTCTTATCCAACAAGATTGTCTCATAGAAGTCCTGCTGTTCCTTTGTATGGAACCCGTAATCAACAGCAGTTCTTCTCCTTGAGGCATATGGATATGACATCCTCCATATCCTCAACCCTGAGTCTCTTCTGATGTTCATGTCCTCAGCCACAGGATGGGCATCATTGTGGTCTGGTATCTTGGGCTTGAGCTTCCTTAGGACCTGTCCTTCTTCATCTTGCTCATCAGCAACATTTGACACTGGGGCCTTATTCTTCTCAGCAGCTGGAATACTCATGGTATTCCTCTTTGGTGCAAGCTTGGCCTTGGGGGCAGCTTTGGGTGCTTCCTTGGGCTTAGATGTTGTAGCCCTGATCTAATAACATCACCCATAAGCTTTGGTGCCTTGGGTGCTGGTGCAGCAACCTCTTCTTCTTCTTCAGAGTCTCTTCTCATTGAGGGCTTTCCAAGAACCTCGGCAGTTGTGGTTCTTGCTCTCTTCTTCTTCTTATCCTGAACAGCTTCATCCTCTGATTCAATGGTAAACTTCATTGTTTCTCCAGTAGGAACTTTCTTGGATTTGGAAGTTGTGACTTTCTTTGCAGGTGCCTCTTTGGGTTCAGTCTGTTCCGGCACTTGAGTGGACCTTCTGACCTTGGGCATAAGTGTTCTCTTGGCAGGAACCTTCTTATTCAGTCCAGGTTTTGTGCTATGTGTTGAGCCATACTCCTTTTTGAGTACTACCTTCTTGGAAGTAGCCTCATCCTCTTCAGCTCTATAATCCTCATCTTCAGAGTCTGAAGTTCTCTTCTTCCTTTGCCTGGTAGCAGCCTTAGGCAGATTGCTAGGAGTGCTTCTGCTACCATCATCTGAGGAACTAGAGGGACTAGTGCCCTCACTCATCTGAGCCTGCTCTTCTGACCTGTTCTGTCTGTCACTCTGGTCTGACATGCTGCAAACACTGACTACTGACCCTGTGAAGAGTTATAGATGAGATAGAGTGGATGAGCATCACAAAATGCAGAGATTTTTGCAAAAGAATGATTCAAAAATTCAGTTTTAGTTTTCCACAGAAAGCATTTCGGATCAACCGATTTTCAAACTCGGTGATACCGAAGCAGTTTTGGAACCTAAACTGATGAACTCGATTGGACCGAGTCACAGTTCGGTGGCACCGAGACTGCTAGGGTTTCACAAAGTCCTAAAATCGGTCTCACTGATTAGCAATTCTCAGTCAGACCGAGAGTTACTAGTGCAATGGCGTTAGCCAAATCGGTGGGACCGAGTTTTTCAACTCGGTGGGTCTGAGATGGTTTC